ACTAATGTGCTGGACACAGTGATGTATGTACGGATTGTGATGAGTTGTATGAGCCCCTAATAAAATGATTATTAAAAAAAAGTGTGTGACAAAAAGACCTGCTGTGTGGCAAACAGGGGATTGGTTTTGCCACAACAATACTAAACAATGCACAACAATGCACCTGCTCACTCAGCCATCTCAGTGTGCCAGTTTGGGGCAAAAAAACCCCAGCATGCCTCTCTTGCCCCACACACCTTACTCACCTGATGTCACACTGTGCAACTTCTTTTTGTTTTGGCAAACGAAGAGGGACATGAAAAGACAGAAACTTGACAACATAGAAGAGGTGAAGAAAAAAATACAGGAGGTGCTGTCAGCCACCCAAACAGATGAGTTTGAAAAATGTTTCCAAGAGTGGATTCAGATTTGACAAGTGTCTCAAATGTAATGGAGAGTGTTTTGACGGTGATAAGGTTGTTTTGTAAAAAAATTTAAACACAGCTTTGAAAAAAGGATCTGTTTGGGGGGCGGGGGAGAACCCTCTCACAGATATATATAGACTTGACAGAGAATATTTGTACATGGGTATTTACGTTTTGTTGCAAATATATCCGTGAATATGGTAGCGTACACAGGGATAAATCTGTGAAAGCTTTTGAGACATAACTAAATACCTGAGGTACTGTCTCTGCTGGGCCTGGGGTCTCAAGACCATGAACTTCATAGACACCATCATCAATGGGCATATGGTAGTTTATAAAAACAATGTTCTACATTCTACTTTGTTGAGAGACATCTGGGGTTTTAAAAGCTTATGAGTGGTGTAACAGGTGCAACTACTGGCCTCTCCTTGTCCCAAGAAAAGGAAAATAATGGAAATCAAAATACACATGGAAACGATTAGTACAATGGACTGATGGGCATTGGAGCATCAATATCCACCAGTATGAGACGGGAAGAACTAGATGGTCTTGACTGTTATTAGAAAGTGCTCTGAAAAGGGTCGCACCAGAGGGTCCTTAATAGAACGGGAGAACAGTGTAGAACATAACGCAAAATCATAAAAAAACACCCAGAAAGTTGACTGGTCAGAGATTGGTGGAACCCTGGAACCTACGGTCTGTGGTCACTCTTCAGGTCTGATAATAAACTCCTCCCTATGGCTAAATTTTCAGCCAAACAACAGACAAATCTTTAAGAGGAACAAAACACTAGGGAGGTAAACGCCTTAGAATAAATTAAAGGGGCAGAATTTGTCCCAGAAAAAAGTTCAGCAGA